CGGCCGCAGCCTGTGCTTTTGCAGTCCGGGTCTCACGCGACGTTTCCGGGTCTCGTCAGATGTGAGTCGGATGGAGCGGCCGGGGGAAGGCGAGCAGCCGCCGCAGCAGCAGCCGTGGGGCAGGCTCCTCCGCCTGGGCGCCGAGGAGGGCGAGCCGCACGTCCTCCTGAGGAAACGGGAGTGGACCATCGGGCGGAGAAGAGGTGCGGGCGGCGAGCGGGGATGGGAGACGCGGGACTGACTGGGGACGGGGACCAAGTGAGCCGGGAGCGGGGGACGTGAGCGGAGGGCCTGGGCCTGGGGACCGGAGCTGAGCCAAACAGGCCCTCCGGGCTGTGGGAGGCCACTGGGCGGGGCGCACCGTGCTTCCAGTTTTCCGTGTAAGAGCTGCCATTTATTCACTTACTGGTCTGCCCAGTCACTTCTGAGTTCTTCATGGAGATTATCTAATCCTCACCGCAGCTTTAGGAAGTCGGGGCATTAATTTATCCCCTAGAATGCAGTCTTCTCAAGTTGGTTACTACACGGAGCATCTTCTCTGAACTCAATGAAATGAAATTAGAAATCAGTAGCAAAAGGAACACTGGAAAATTCGCAGATACGTGGAAATTAACTAACACTCTTCAACAACCAGTGGGTCAGAGAAGAAATCACAAGGGAAATTAGAAAATACCTTGAGATAAATGAAATTGTGGTACACCAGAACTTAAGGGGTGCGGGCAAGCAGTGCTCAGAGGGAAATTTATAGCTGTAGGCAGCTACATTAGAAAAATATCTCAGTCCCAGCTCTTAGAAGAGAGCTGCTCAAATATCTGTTGATTTAATGAACCTGGAAAGCTAAGGACTTGAAGAAAGTCATGCAGCTAGTGAGAGAAAGCGCCCTTACCCTCCAGGATAACTGCCTCTAAATTCCTAAGCGACAGTCTGGTAACTTAACCTCCCTAGTAGCATTCCCGCCGGAGCGAAGTGCAGTGGTGATCAGGCCAACAAAAATACTCAGTTTGCCTACAGATTAATAGTCACTCTGACTTTATACTTTAAACAAGAGAAGATGAGAAAGATACTGTTTAAAAGCAAAGCTTTTTGGTTTCATTTTACCTACTTGTACCTGTTTTTCTGTTGGGGTTTTGGGGGAGGCAGTCTTAAATCCCAGTATCAAGTTAAATTTTTGTTTACAACTTTAAAAGTATTTACGTATCATTAGAAACTTTGGAGATGCATTAATTGTCTTTAATTGATGGAAAAGGAAGTTTAGTGAAAGAGCGGAAGCCGGGAAACCCTGAAGCCCTGGAAACAAATCTCGGGTTTCCATACACCACCACCACCACGTAACTTGCTGTGGGCTAACAACTTGCCTTTCTGTGCCTTTGTACCTACTTTGTAGGATTCCTGTGAAAGTTAAATGAGATCGTAAGTGAAGTGCTTGGAGCCTGGCTGAGTTAGCACTTAATATTAACCATTGTTATTATAACACAGTACTGTAGTATCATTTTGCATGTTAATACAAGCAGCAAAAATGTGTTGAGTTCATTCTTAATAGATGTCCTTTCCTTGAATGTATTAGCTTTTCCAGCAAAACATAAAAATTGTTGTATTAGTCACCCCAGGCTGCCATAGCAAAATACCACAGATCGGGAAGCTTAAACCACAGAAATTTTTAATTTTTTATTGAAGTATAGTGGATTTACAATATTGTGTCAGTTTCAGGTGTACAGCATAGTCATTCGATTATACATAGGTATATTATTTTTCATTTTCTTTTCCATTATAGGTTATTACAAGATATTGAATGCAATTCCCTGTGCTATCCAGTGGGAACTTGTTTCCTCTATTTTTTATTGATGTATAGGCAGTTTACAATGTTGTGTTAAATTTCTGTGTATAGCATAATGTTTTATTATTTTATATATAGGAGTTTGTATCTGCTAATCACAGACTCCTAATTTATCTCTCCCCCTTCCTTTCCTCTTTGATAACCATAAGATTCTTTCCTATGTTTGTGAGTCTATTTCTATTTTGTAAATAAATTCATTTGTATCATTTTTTAGATTCTGCATCTAAGTGATATCGTATATTTATCTTTCTCTGACTGACTTACTTAGTATGACAATCTCTAGTTCCATCCATGTTGCTGCAGATGGCATTATTTCATCCTTTTTTATGGCTGGGTAATATTTCATTGTGTGTTTCTGTATGTGTATGTGTATACGTGTGTGTATGTATATGTATATGTGTACATATACATATAAATATACCACAACTTATTTATCCATTCATCTGTCAGTGGACATTTAGGTGGCTCCCATGCTTGGCTATTGTAGGTAGTGCTGCTATGAACATTGTATTTTTTCGTGCCTGTATTTTTTCGAGTTAGGGTTTTCTCTGGATATATGTCCAGGATTGGGACTGCTGGGTCATATGGTAACTCTGTTTTTACTTTTTATAATTTTATTTTAATTAAAAATTTTTTTAATTTTATTTTAAAGGGACTGAGATGATCCTTTTTCACTTTACTTTTTTTTTTTGGTGGTAGGGGGAGGTAATTAGGTTTATTTACTTATATGGAGATACTGGGCGCTCTACCGCTGAGCTATACCCTCCCCTCTTCTAGTTTTAGTTTTTTAAGGAACCTCCGTACCGTCCTCCATAGTGGCTGCACCAATTTACATTCCCACCAGCAGCGTAGGAGGGTTCCCTTTTCTCCACACCCTCTCCGACACTGATATGAGGTATTATAGTTTGATTTAAACCACAGAAATTCATTTCTCACAGTTCTGGAGTCTAGGAAGTCCAAGGTCAAGGTGCCAGTCAGTTTGTTTCCTGGTGAGAGTCCTCTTCCTGGTTTGCAGACAGCTGCGTTCTTGCTGTGTCCTCCATGCTGGACAGAGCGCTTTGGTGTCTCTCCTCGTAAATGCCCCGACCCTGTCAATGAAGGCCCCACCCTGATGATGTATGTAACTTTTGTCACCTCACAGGCCCTCTCTAAATATAGTCACACAGCAGGGGGATAGGGTCTCAGTGTATGAATTTTGGAGGGGGACCCAAGTTGTAGAACGTGATTATGTTTATTTTATTTTTCTGTTTTATTTTTTTAAGTTTTGTTAGGGGGGAGGTAATTAGGCTTATTTATTATTTAATGGAAGTTGAACCCAGGACCTTATACATGCTGAGCATGTATTCTACCACTGAGCTGTACCCTCTCCCCTGATTATATTTATTTTAAAACTGTTACAGGCCTGCTATTTATAAGGCATTATTCTGACAGAAAGGGAGAGGTGAGGTGATATGTATGGGAAGGCGAGGAGGACCTTGCCTTTCCAAAGAGCTCCCCATTCTCGGAGTGACAGAAATGTGTACCAACCATGGAGAGATAAACCAGCTGAATGCCAGGCAGGGCAAATGGCAAGAATAGAACTTGAGTGCACTGTATTTCGGTTCTAAATTGGAACGCTGGTGTTCTGGTGTGGAGAAGCCACTCTGGTGACACAGTGACTCGCCTGTGTCTGAGGTTACAAGGAGACTATCCTGGTGGTTTTGCTCAGTGCCATAGGGACGATCTCGATGAATGGCACAGGTGAAACTCGCCTTGGCATTTGGCATCTCTGCCTCCTGTTTCTGATGGGTAGCACAGCTCCTTTGTCTTCACTGCCTTCTGATGGAGGAAGCCGAGGGCTCCCTGTCCCCTTGGGGACCGTGCTGGGCTCTGCCCTAATCAGGACTGAGGCCTAAGCTCATGGCTTGCTCTGAAGACCAAGTATCAGAGCCCCACCCACTTTTACTATTAACATCTTTGTTATAGAAATAAAGTTTGTGCTTGGAGTTAAAAAAAAGTACTTCCCATAATGTAGAATGTTTATGCAAATATGATTTTAAAAAAAATTGAAGTATAGTCAGTTTACAATGTGTCAATTTCTGGCGTGCAGCTTAATAGTTTAGTCATACATGTACACACATAAATCCGTTTTCATATTCTTTTTCATTATAGGTTACTGCAAGATATTGAGTATAGTTCCCTGTGCCGTACAGTGTAAACTTGTTGTTTATCTATTTTTACATAGTAGTTAGTATCTGCAAATCTCGAACTCCCATTTTATCCCTTCCCACCCCCTCACCCCCAGTAACCATAAGCTTGTTTTCTGTATCTGTGAGTCTGTTTCATTTTGTAAATAAGTTCATTTGTCTTTTTTTCTTTAGATTCCACATATAACTGATATGTGGTATTTTTCTTTCTCTTTCTGGCTTCGCTTATAATCTTGAGGTCCATCCATGTTGCTGCAAATGAAATTATTTTATTCTTCTTTATGACTGAGTAGTATTCCGTGTAAATATACCACAACTTTTTTATCCAGTCATCTGTCGATGGACATTTAGGTTGCTTCCATGTCTCAGCTAATACGCAAATATGAATTCTGATATTTATGGTTTAGGGAGACATAGTTCACATATGGTAAAATTCACCCCCTTTAGGTGTTCAGTAAGTTTGAGGAATGGAGGCAGCATTATAGTCAAGATGTTGACCATTTCTGTCACCTCAGGAAGTGCCTTGTGGCCTTTTGAGTCCAGCCCTGGCTCCTGGCACCCACGAGTCTGACTTCTCTGCATGTAGTTCTGCTTCTCCCAGACTGCCGTCTGAAGGAGCCGCACACTTGGCACCGTCTGTGCCGGGTGTCGCTCCTTGGCAGCTGTGTGTGTCAGTAGTTTGTTAGTTGATGGGCACTGCACTGCTCCCCACTCTTGGTTATTAAACATAAACCTAGAGTTCAGACCCGTTATAGGCAGACTAGTGACTCAATATCAAAACTCCCCTGAAAGCTTGTGTTCTTTTGATTTAAGGAGAGAACAAAGTATTTGAGGACTTTCCCATTGGATTTAGTGAGGATATAATTATATTCCGCTGTAGATGCACACTCCCTTTTTCTATTGTATTTTATTTTAGCATCCCCCTTCTGTTTTAAATTTTCTTAAACATGTGCGTGTGCTTGCGATAATATACTCAGTCGTATTTTCTGTGGCTTTGTCGTTGCTTCCATTTTGTGATGATTTATGAAGCTTTAACTGACACAGAAGAAATTAAGGAGTAAGATACTGAAGTATTTAATAAGCCCCTTTATTTTTTAAAAGTTATATATTTATCAGGCTCTCTGCATATGTGTGCATATGATAAAAATGTCACCAAGAAGTTGATGTGTAGCTGGGATATATGCTCTGCATAATGAGTCAGAAAGGTTCCAGATACAGGCCCGGCCCTGTTCTTTTACTCTGTGTGTGTGTGTGGGGGGGGTGTAGGGGCAGTAATTAGGTTTTATTTATTTATCTTTAATGGAAGTGCTGGGGATTGAACCCAGGACCTTGTGCATGCAAAGCATGTATTCTACCGTTGAGCTATACCCTTCCCCGTTCCTTTACTTTTGATTAACACTTAAATGCTTTTTAAAAACTTTTTCTGTAATTGATTAGTGCTGTCTCCTTAGTCGGTACAACATATGTCTTTTTAATTTTTGTGAGTAGGGGTTAGTAATTAGGTTTATTTTTTTAATGGAGGTACTGGGGAGTGAACCCAGGACCTCGTGCATGCTAGGCATGCGCTCTACCACTGAGCTCTACCCTCCCCCCAGCGTGGGTCTTGACTTCCAGTCACATGCTTTGGTTAAGCAAAGGGTGACTCTGTGCTCAGTACCCACAGGCAAATCCGGCATGTCCCCCCCTCTGTTTCAGGCTGTGACCTTTCATTCCCCGGCAATAAGCTGGTCTCTGGAGACCATTGTAAGATTATAGTGGACGAAAAATCTGGTCAGGTGTCACTGGAAGATACCAGGTAAGCTCTTTCTGAACTTCTTTTCTGTTTCCTTTTGTAGCTTCATGAAGCTGGCTTACAGCCAGTCAGCTTGTGACTGCAGAGGAGTGACAGGGGCCTGCTTTCTGTGGCACAGTAGTCCACTAGCTTCTCAGGGTGTTGGAGATGTTTGCCAGTTTCCAGAGTGGACTACTTGGTGACACTTTGGTGTCTGTGACCCTTCTTGAATATATTCAGATTAAAGGGGAGGGTAGAGCTCAGTGGTAGAGCACGTGCCCTGGGTTCAATCCTCAGCACCTCCAATAAATAAATAAATAGATGAGCAAACAAACCTAATTTCCCCTTGGGTTCAATCCCCGGTACCTCCATTAAATGAATACATAGATAGATAGAAAGATAGACAGACAGACAGACAGATAAACCTACTCCTCCCCCGTCCAAAAAAAAAAGGCAAAAAAAAAATCTCAGAAATAAGACTTAAAAGGCAGTGATACATTTTGGGTTCTTGCACACCTATTCAGGTTAGACTCCTCCAAACCAAAGCGTCTTTTTATTATTATTGTCATACAGCGTAAGTAGCACATAAATGTGAAAAGCTTTCCAAACTTCCACTCACCCATTAAGAATACATAGGTGTTTATTCTGTCGTAATGAGGTTATACTACACACACTGTTGTTGCATCTCCTTTTTTTTTTTATTTTGGGGGGGGACATACTTAGGTATTTGTTTGTTTTTAGAGGAGGCACTGGGGATTGAACCCAAGACCTTGTACACACTAGGCACGCGCGCTACCACTGAGCTATACCGCCCCTCGCATCACCTTCTTTTACTTGTAATGTTTCTGGAGGGCTTGACTCAGCAGCACGTCTAGAACCGCCTCAGCTTTTTCCTTATTATGTAATAACTTACTTGTCAGGTCCTTTACTGACGGAAACTCATTCCTTGGACTTTTTCTGACTGCAGTGACTCTCTTCCAAAACTCTCTCTGAGTTTATAGGATGGACGGCTGTGTCTGAATGTGCCTGCTTTAAGCCTGGTACAAGTGGCAGGCAGGTGCCCTCAGCAGTATGTGGAGAGCGTGCCTCTCCTGCAAGATGACTTTTATTTTTGGGAAGGTCAAGTGCTGTCAGAGTCTTTGGTAACTACAGTTCTAGGGCTGGAAGGCCAGGAGTTGGTTTTATTGGGATAAACTGATGCTCCTTCTCCTCCTCTGTGGGGTCCTCTGAGTTGTTTTTACTTCTCAGCACCGTGTGCAGTAGCCGCGCTGGTTCTAGAGCCGTCTGCCTGCATCAGCTCTGGGCCTTCCCACGCTGGCTGCACGACAGGATTTGCTTCCTCTGCCTGTTGGGGCAAATCACAGGCTCTGGCTTGACACGAACACAAATCGCTGAGCTGGTGGAGCTGGGCGTCCCAAGCCCTCACGTCTCGCTGGACCGAAGCCTGGGGTCGGCTCTTTCTGGGTGGAGCTCTTTCTGGAGGCTGTAGGGGAGAATCGGGTCCCTGCCTTCCCCAGATTCTAGAGGCCGCTGCCTACCTTGGCCGGGGTCAGGGGTGGCAGGGGGTGGGGGGGTGCCGCAGGGAAAGGGCATGAGCAGGAAGGCCCAAGGTCCACGCTGGAGAGTTTGGACTTAAGCCTGAGAGGCAGTGAGAAGTCACGAAGGGATTTAAGCGGAAAAGTGAAATCAGATTTTTGGGTTAGAAGGAACTTGAGAATAGTGTTAAGGCGCTGGTGGATCGAATGCCTGCAGTCGGGGTGGTCTGCTCAGCCGCCGAGTTCTGCTTTTGTCCAGTGTGCTATCGTACTTGCCTGCGGTGTGGTTTGGACCACTCCTGACCGTCTGTCAGGTCTCCACTCTGGAGAAGCACTTCCTGTCATTCCCTGCAGTGCCCCGTGCCCCTCCCAGCCAGCAGCGGGTCCCTGCTTAGCCTGAGTGACCGCCCAGCCTCAGGGACCAGCTGCCAGCCCTGCATTCGTTTGCTTCTGCCCAGACCCTGCCTCCCAGGAGGGGTCAGTCCTCATCTGAAGACTAAGCGGAGCTGGGTTGTGGCTGCTGGAGGGAGGGTAGCTCTCTGGACCAGAGCTACACACAGAAGCAGAACAGAGTCTGGAAAGCAAAGCGCAGTCCTGCTGGTGGAATTCTGTGGTCAACCAGGAGGCAGATGGAAAAGAATGTGGTGCTGGAGCAACAAACATTTTAAAACCCTTGACAAGACCGTTTGGCCTTGAGTGCGGAGGCACCAGGCAAGCTTTTTCTCCAGAGAGTTGGAAGGTGGCACTTGGATATGTGCCTCATTAAATATTCACACCATCCCCCTGAGGACTGCCTCATTCTCAGCGTGGTCATACTGAACTGCTTTCCCGGTGGTTGTCGAAAAGGACATTTTTAACTCCACGTTACTTTAAGTAGGATAAATTGGATTTTTGTCATCTACAGCACCAATGGAACAGTAATTAACAAGCTGAAGGTTGTAAAGAAGCAGACCTGCCCTTTACAGACTGGGGACGTCATCTACTTGGTGTACAGGAAGAATGAACCAGAGCACAGTAAGAGGCAGAGGCTTTCTGGGATGGGCACCTGGGCGGTGTAGAGCGGGGTGGCCCTGGTCCTGCCAGGAATGATTGCGGGGAAGAGTCTGTTGAGGCAGATGTTTTCTGAAGGAATGTCTGTGGTGGCTACATTCCCTTTTTGGTCATATAAATTCTTGGTGTGAGTGGTGTCTGTTGAAGAGTAGGGGTGTTGGCCTTGCTGTCTGAGCCCTAGCCATTCTTCAAAAATACCATTATGGTTGTGAGCCAGGAATCTCGCAGTGGTAGCCAAGGAGAAGTGAACGGGGATGGGTGCGTTACTTAGAAGACATCCGAGTTGTGGAGAAGAAGGCCTAGCATGGGGGGCCCAAGGCCACCAATGGCCCCACTTTGGGAGACTTTCCAGGAGACCCCAAAGGCTAGACTGGATTCCATTCAGGCTTTTCCAGCTCTGAGCATCCGAGTCTGTGGAAAAAGGATGATACCGGACAGGGAGAGTTAGGGAAGTCCTTCGAAGGTCACCCCAGAAAAGGGAAGGAGGGACACGTGTTCCCCAGGTTGTCCTCAGCATAATCCAAGCCAGCCCCCAGCCACATGGAAAGACCTCGTGTCTGCTCCTTCCGGTGCTTTGAAATGATAAGCAAGGCAGAGAATCAGCACCTCCTCATCGCTTTGCTTCCCTTGTCTGCCTCCTAACTCCAGAGGTTTTTCCAGAAGCTTATTTATTTTAAATTGAGATGGCTTGGGTCACGTGCTTTCAAATCCCTCAAGCTGGAGAACACTGTGACCAGCTGATGAGTCGAAACAGTCAACAAGGACCAAGTGACAGCGAGGTGACCGGAGGGAACAGAACAATGAGTCCGCCTGGTGCGTGGCTGACGCTGCTCTGATCTGGTTTATTTCCCTTAGATGTGGCATACCTCTACGAATCTTTTAATGAAAAGCAAGGCGTAACACAGGACTCCTTCGGTGAGTGAGACTAGCAAAGGTGAGGGTGCGTGTTGAGGGCTGTTAACTCCTCCATCTGCCAAGCGTCTCCCTGAAGCAACATCCCTCACCTGCGCCCTGAGTGCATTCCGCTCCTGCCCCTTTGTGCTTACAGAAGCTAACAAAGAAAATGTGCTCCACACGACCAAAGATACCTCAGGTACAGGGCGAGGCGACAACCCTGGGGCCCTGCCCTCGGCGCCCGCCACTCAGGTGGTCTTTGAGGAACCACAGCCATCGACGTCGACGTCAGACCTCTTCCCTGCGGCCTCTACCTCTTCCATAGAGCCCAGCTCTGCAGGGAGAGTGCCTCCCTGCAGCCCTGGTGAGTAGCTGCCTGCTTTTTACTCTGTCAGCCTGACCAGTGTTGTCCTAGAGACAGGCGAGCCCTGCGGAAGTCAAGGTGCATCAGGCCGTTGGTGGTAGGACTTCGGTAGCAGTACCTGTCGTCATGTTCCATCCCCAGAAGAATGGCTGCAGGTCAGGGACTGTCATGCTGTGGTGTTTTCTACGGGTTATAAATCACATACTGTAAGAATCACATAGAGTGTACGTTTCCATTTTTTTTAATGGCATCTTGGATTACCTGCACCTGGTTTGAATCAGCGATGCTTTTGACTCCTGTGCCCTCTCTTTCTGAGGTGGGTGAATCAGAATTCCTCTCGTTTGTCCCTCTCCCAGGCTTCAGAGGTGCAGGCG